CCGTTCCCCCCCCCCCCCCCCAGGGCTCGCCATGTCCCCTCAACTCTCTGTTGGTCTGGTTGCCAGCTGGGCTTTATCCACCAGCTGGCTTGCCACAGTGCAGCCACGCCTCCCCCCTGGGTCTGCCTGCTCCCTCCCAGCCCCCATCCAGAGGCCCCCGGGCACGCACCAGCCCAGCCAGGACTGCTTGTCCACTCGCAAGGAGAACTCCTTCTTGCAAAAGGCTTGGGTAGTGCATACTGGCACCCGTTGCCCACCCCCACCCATTTCCAGCTACAGGTGGAAATGCAGGTACATTGAATGATGGCGTGGTCCGAGGCCTTTTAATATATACAACAGATTTGTATTAATAAATAATAATAATAATAATCACACACAATTCAGCAGAGCCAAACTGCAGAACAATGCAGTACAGTTTGCAGTGGGGGTGTGACCCTTGAAAAAGCAGACGCATCCTTCTCCCGATCTACAGACTGCCTCTCTGCACCCTTCCCCGGATACTTGCCCTCTCCCGGAAGCCAGGGTTCTCCGACAGGGTGCGCAGCTGCGCTGACACGGCCCCGACAACTTTGCTGTTCCCTTCCACAAGCAGGAGGCTCAAGGCCTTCAGCCCGTCCTTGCGGAGCCGGTTCTCAGGCATGCGCTTCAAAGCCTTCAGGACCACATCCTGGTCGTCAGAGTTCAGGTTCTGGGCTAGCAGCACTACAAAGGCAGGAGACAGGCAAAGAACCACAGTAAGCATTACGGAGACCAGCTATGGGAATCCGAAACCAGAGCTGTCTTGCTTTGGGGAGCATCTGCTTGGCATGCAGAAGGTCCCAGGTTCAGTGGGAAGGATTCAAGCAAGCAAGCGGGGAAGGACAGGGTGGTATGGATGGGCAGGGGCACCCTTTGCCCAGGCCTCCCCAAAGCCTCCAACTGGCCCTGGCATGGCACCCAATGGCAGGCGGAAGGGAGTTCTCATGTAAAAACAAGCTCGTGCAGGATGTCTGAATGCAGCCACAGCCCTACTGCTTCACTGAAAAAAAGTGATTCCCTTATCACGCGAAGTACTTACATGTTCAGGGATACTCACAGCAACTAGGCTAAGCTCTGGCATGAGAGCAAGCAGATGAGAAAGCACTCCAAAGTGTGGTCTCCCACTTCCAAGACAACAGTCAGGGCTCGTTCGCACATGTCCAGACCCTCTTCTGAGCTTATTCTGAATGTTTCCATTGCAGACATGACTGCAAAACCACGGTTTAACTAAACTAACTATGGTTAGCGTTACCATCTGAATGTGGCAGACTCCGCCAACCGTGGCTAGTAAGTCTGTTAAACCCAGCTCCGAAGTTGGTTTGTTAACCGCAATTAGCCCCATTTATGCTTCTGAACGAACCACGAGTGTAGAGGTTCCCCAGTGCCTTCCCCTCACGTGCTCTCCCAGAAACAGGGACAGCTGGCCAGAGCAAAGGTAATAAAACACCAGGATCTGAGTGATCATTTGGGAGCCAAACTCTGGTTTCCCGGTCAAGATACACCTTGGTTTCATGTTATCTCTAAAGTGAGCCACTCTGTGAATTGTCCCCACCCATAAAACAATCGCCTTTGAGGTGACGTGGGGCAACGATAATGGTTGTCTCCGTGGTGTTTAATCTATATGTCTGTTTGGACCTGTGAGTCACCACTTGAGGCTGAAGTCACCAAGTGACAAGTACCCCTCCCTTACCCCAGATCCACACTCTTCACATAACGTACCTTCCTCTGCCAGCTCCAAGATGTAGGAGTCCAGCGTCGATGGAGGCAGAGTCTCAAAGTGGCTCCAGTACTGGAAGATGGTCACCTGCTCCGCTTGGCAGCCCCCCTGGCGCCTGGGCAGCCTGCGCTGCAGAAGCTCTTCCACCAGTTTCACGCACACTAGAGTCGAAGGGAACATCAAGCAACTCATGAGCCCTCACAGCACAAACACTGGCATGACATCGAAACACTCGGGAGCATCTTCCGTTTTGGATGGGACCAGGATGAGATGGTGGTAGGGACAGGCAGAAATGAGAGCGGCATGGCAACCAAACCCAAAATTATGAGTGAAAACACAGCACAGATGAGTTGCCCCAATAGCAACAGAAAAGGAGGTGTGGGGGTGTGAATCCTTCCGTTGTACCATAGCAATAGAAAACAAGGCGTGGGTACGGATCCTGCAGACTCTACCACACTGCTCTTGGTCAGTCCGGTGTAGTGGTTTAGTGCGTGGACTCTAATCTGGGAGAACCGGGTTTGATTCCCCACTCCTCCACTTGCAGCTGCTGGATGACCTTGGGCAAGCCGTAGTTCTGTCAGAGCTGTTCTTGAAAAAGAGCAGTTTCTGTCAAGAGCTCTCTCAGCCCCACCTACCTCACAGGGTGTCTGTTGTGGGGAGGGGAAGGAGTTTGTAAGCTGCTCTGAGACTCTGAGTGAAGGGCAGGGTATAAATCCAATCTCCTCTTCCTCTTCTTCTTCTGTCTTGCATGGCAGTTCAAAGCGAGAGGGGTGCATCAACCCCAGGCCAAAACATCTCCCCAAAGATGACCTAGAAGCCATTCCTTCAATAAAAGCGACTTCTGTTGCCTTCCTGGTCTGTCCTTGTTTGCCCTTGAATATTTGCTCATAAGGACACCCAGGGGTCATTTCATAGAAAAAGAGGTGCAGGAGCTCATTAGCATAACTTATTTGCATATGCCACACCCCCTGACATCACCGGAAGTGCGTCAGAAGGCAACACCCACCGCTCAGGCTCCACTGTACTGTTTTGGATTACTAGCTATTGGGGGACGACGACGTGCAGATCTGTCCTCGCAGAGGAGGGAGAGCTTGTACCTGAATAAAACTTGGTCTTAAAGGTGCCACTGGACTGCTTTGTAGGGCTGGGGGGAGCTCTGCAACTTACCTGGCTGCTTCTTGCTCTGACTGAGGGCTGCTGGGAGCAGGGGGTGGGGCTTGTTGCATGTGCCCACCCCCTGGGCTCTTTACTGCTGGAGCTCCGCTCCTGCGCACTCCTGCAGGAAATGACCCCTGAGGACACCAGACACTCATGGATCTGGATCAAGATGGGTGGCCTTTTTAGTCTGTCTGTAGCAGTAGAGAAAAGCAAGAGTCCAGTGGCACTTTAAAGACTAACAAAATTTGTGGCAGGGTGTGAGCTTTCCTGAGTCACTGCTCATGAAAGCTCATACCCTACCACAATTTTTTTTAGGTTTTAAGGAGCTACTGCACCCTTGCTCTTTTCTGCTGCTACAAACACCCGTGGAAATTGGCATTCGGCACAGAATTCAGATAAGTCAGGAAAGTCTTACAGTGAATAAGCAGGTAAGTCAGATAAGTTGTATGGAATTCAGCTAAGTCCTACAGTGAAATCTTTAGCACAGTTACACCCTTCTAAACCCACTGACTTCAGTAAGCTTTGCAGAGGGACCGAGGGGACATGGTCAGCAGCTGAGGACTGCACTCCTAAGAGGAATTCGGGCACAGAAGCAGCGAGGCTACACTGCACCATACTTTAGAAAGTACTGCAGTGAGGCACGCCAGTTTATTTTTCTGTCTTAAGAAAAACTCAGGGTTCAGAGGACACTGCATGTTAACAGCTCCCCTTCCCTTTGAAAAGAGGCTATCTTCAGAGTTCTCCCTCCAACACACAAATAGTTTCAGGCAGGGAAGACATGTTAGCCCATAGCGGTAGAGCAAAACTGGAGGCCGGCAGTACCTTAAAGAGCAACTCTTTATTCAGGGTATAAGGCTCATCACTCAAAGCTCACTTCGTCATCTATGAAGCACGGGTACACATGGTGTTTGTCAGATGGCTGCACACATACAGAATGGCCTGGCAGCTGGCTGGAAGAAACAGGCGTCCAGGCAGCAACTATCTGGCTGCCAAGGGAGCATTATCAGGCAGAGACAGACAGCTGAGTTCCTGATCTGGGGAACCTCAAGCAAGTAGCCACTATAGGCTGGCAACGAGAATGATGTCAGTGACCAAAGTGGGACTGAGAAGGGTCTTCTTGCAGCCAAGGGAATTAGTTGCAGTCCTTATTTTGCTGTATGCATTCTCACTTGTGTATTGTTCCGTTGCAGTCCTTATTTTGCTGTCATGTGAGAAGAGGCAGTATCACGCAACTAAACCAAACCATGTATTCAGGCTGCAGATCTATATACAACTTGGTGCAGAATCTAGATCTCTGGTGTGTGGGGGAGCGTGTTGACCATGAGGCACACTCACACACTCACCTGAATCCGCCAGGCCTTGCTGCCGTTCGTTGATTCGCACCATGTATTGAGAGCTGAGTGTCTTTAGGAACCGCTCCACAGGGCAGGTATACACATTAGGGACGGTCACACAGCTGTCCCAGAAGGGTAACATACCCTCCTTCCGTGTGGAGAACTGAACCACTGGAGATAGAGAGATCAAAAAATCAGTTTGGGACTAGAGCTGTCATGACAGATCCAGCAAAAGATGTTTCCTTTGAACCACTGGGAAACTCTGCGTTGGATCCTGTAGATAGAGATGCTTTCTTGGGAGGAAGGAGTCTCTCACATCAGGGGAAGGCTGCTTTCTCCCAAGGAAAGCATCTCTGTTAGTATAACGGATCTCCAGGATCCTGCAAACTTTTGTCTTCCTCCCACCTGTCCAAAAAGTGTCCAATAGTGTGCATACGAGCACGTGTTACACCAGGAATTGCTGTACTCAGGAATACTCTTGTCAAATAGGGGCAGGAAAGATGTGTCTGGCTACAAGGAAACTGCTTCTGAATGTTTGCAATGGAAGCTGGCTGTGCACAGTACTGACTGGTTGGTGACTGTAAGGTCACACCATCCTCACCCATCTGCATATCAGTTTTAAAGGTAATGGTTTCCCTTGCTCAAAACCCAGCTGAATCTGACTTGGGGGGGGGGCTCATCTCTGTTTCCAAGCCAGCGCTGTTGGAAGACTTTTCCGTGGTCATGTGGCCGGCATGACTAAACACCAAGGCACACGGAACGCTGTTACCTTCCCACTGAAGCAGTACCTATTTATCTACTCGCAATTTCCTGCTTTTGAACTGCTGGGTTGGCAGGAGCTGGGGCCAGAGACGGGAGCTCACTTTAACAAAAAGCAAGAAGCCCACTTGAAACTTTGGGAATGGGGCAAGATGGACAATTAAATCGGTGCTGGCAACAAAATGAAACAGGACTCCCGCTTACTTTTATTAATCCAGACTAATACTATCCGTCTATTCTTCGTAAAGACTAGCAGAATTTATTCCAGAAGAGGCTTTTGTGAGTCACAGCTCATTTCATCAGACGCATGAAGCCTTCGGCTGTTAACGGAGATGCATTTATACCTCAGCATCATGGGTTGAACGGTTTATGCATTTGATGGAGTCAGCTCTGACTCACGGGAACTTATGCTGGAATTAATTCTGTTAATCTTTTAAGGTGATGCTGCGCTCCTGTTTCTATTGGCTGCAACAGACTTCTAACTTGGCTTCTCATCCGAATTGCTAGAAAGCATGTCCATCTTAAGAAAGCAACGGTGGGTAGAAGTAGGATCCACCTGCTTGAGAATTTTTTTTTTGTGAGCGCTGTTTATGGTGATGTGTTTATGGTGTTGTTGGTGATACTGTTTATGGTGATACTGTTTTATGCTGTTTATGGTGATACTACAGGGTATGATACCCAGGGTATAATTTTTACTCCCCACCACCATTCCCACAAAGGGCCTTCCCACAAAAGAAAAAGACCCACCTCTCCAGAACTACAGTCACCCCCGCCCCAGGAAGTGAGTGGCCTTGGATTCTCCCTCACAGCACACTTCCTTACCTTCCTCGGCCGAATTGGCAGTCCCTGACCTTTCCTCCGCCAGGTGGCAGACCATCTCCAGGACTTGAGCTTCCCTAGCCAGCCTGTCCAGCGCATACATTTCCCGGCAGCGTAGTGGTCCAAAATTGCCAAAGAAGTAGGATCCGCCTGCTTGAGAATTTTTTTTTGTGAGCGCTGTTTATGGTGTTTATGGTGATACTGTTTTATGCTGTTTATGGTGATACTACAGAGTATGATACCCTGGGTATAATTTTTGCTCCCCACCACCATTCCCACAAAGGGCCTTCCCACAAAAGAAAAAGACCCACCTCTCCAGAACTACAGTCACCCCCGCCCCAGGAAGGGAGTGGCCTTGGATTCTCCCTCACAGCACACTTCCTTACCTTCCTCGGCCGAATTGGCAGTCCCTGACCTTTCCTCCGCCAGGTGGCAGACCATCCCCAGGACTTGAGCTTCCCTCGCCAGCCTGTCGAGCGCATACATTTCCCGGCAGCGTAGTGGTCCAAAATTGCCAAGTTTCTGCAAATCAGGTGACAAGCAACACAACAGACCCTTAGGGGGAGGGCCCAGCCCCAATTCACACCTTACAAAGAGCCATTTTTAGCTGGTTCAGATTTTATGTGCGGGACAACACAAGAAGGAGAGCTCAGCTGTGAGGCTTAGAGAAAGCAAACTGTGTAATAATCACAACGCAAAAACAGTCAGTAAGGACTAAATAACAGTCGCAAGTCAGGGCAGTTTTCAAGAACTCCACAGAGTGAATGGGGTCGGGGGATATGCCACAGCCGAGGTTCTACTGAGAATGTAAGAAGTGCCTTGTCAGAGCAGACCAAGTCCCCGTCAAGGTTAGCACTATTTCTCCACTAGTGACCACCCAGGTGCCCCTGGGAAGCCCACAAGCCATGCATGCAATTAACTCTTTTAGCTCCGTTTAGCCATCATCGCTAGTGGCACTTGACAGACAAGTGCACAGGAGGGCAGGTCTAATTCAGGGGTCCCCAACTGTTTTGAGCCTGTGGGCACCTTTGGAACTCTCACACAGGGTGGTGGGCAAAACCCCAAAATGACTACCACAGGAGGTGGCGCCAAACACACAGAGGAAGCCCAAATGCAGGGATAAAGAGGGGTGATTTAAAATATACACCGGCAAGGAGGAGAGGGAATAAAACAAACACTGTGGTGGCAGTCGCCACCGAAACAACATTATTTTAATCTGCATAGCCAATTGGCTCTTCAGTGGCCAATCAGAAGCCCTGCCAGGTAAGAGCCCCACCCACATTCTAGGAACACTTGGTGGGCACCAAGAAAGGTATTGGAGGGCACCCTGGTGCCCAAGGGACCCCTGATCTAAGTCCCCCTTTGAAAAGATCTAGAACAGCAGTCATCACCAACACTTTTCCTGTTAGTAAAGCAGAAGCCTTGCAGAAGAAGAAGAAGAAGAGGAAGAGGAGGAGGAGGAGATTGCATTTATACCCTGCCCTTCACTTGGAGTCTCAGAGTGGCTTACAAACTCCTTTCCCTTCCCCTCCCCACAACAGACACCCTGTGAGGTGGGTGGGGCTGAGTGACACAAACTGCTCTTTCAGGAACAGCTGTGCCAGAGCTTGTGACTGACCCAAGGTCACATCAGCAGGTGCAGGTGGAGGAGTGGGGAATCAAACCCGGTTCTCCAAGATTTAGAGTCCGCACACTTAACCACTACACCAAACTGGCTCTCTGACAGATGTGCAGGGCACCAAAATCAGAAGACACACAGTTGGAAGAGGAGGTTTGCAAATGGAAAGGACCCTTCCCTTTGTCCTCACCAGCAGCAGGCCATTGCAGTAATTCAAATGCAGAACCAGGGCCCTGTCGAGGAACTCGCTGCCAGTGCTCATGGGTTCCGGACTGCCCTCCGAAGCAAAGCACCCTGCTATTTCTTCACCAGCGGCTTCGCCAGATCCTGGTACCCTGCTCAAAGGCACAGGCTGTGCACTGCTGGCTCTCCTGTGAACAGATGCAGATGAGGTAAGCACATCCCCAGAGCCTTGTCTTTGCTTTCCTGGCTCACACCAGCTTCACCAACCAGGGCGTGCAGCAAGAGTGACGTAGCTGTAACTCAGAGGTAGAGCATCTGCTTGGCACGCAGAGGGTCCCAGGTTCAGTCCCCAGTATCTCCAGTTAAAAGGTCATAGGTTATGGGAAAGACTTCTGCCTTGAGACCCTGGACAGCTCTGCCAGTCAGAGCGGACAGTATTGAGTGGTACAGACTCAGTATAAGGCAGAGTTCTGTGTCCATGTGGATCCAGCACATATGCATCCCAACAAGGCCTCTGGACAGATCTAACATTTTAGCCACGCAGGTGAGACTCCAGGATCTCAAGGGACAGCCCAGAAGCTCCGCCTTCAGCCATTTTTTTGCTGTCAAGTTGCTGGCAACTTATGGTGTTTTATAGGGATTTTGAGGAAAGAGATGTTCAGTGGTGGTTTGCCATCGCATGCCTCTGCATACCAGCCCTAGATTTCCTTGGTGGTCTCCTATCCAAGTACTAACCAGGGCTGACCATTCTTAGCTCCTGAGATTGGGCTGTTACATATTGGTATTACATTGGCCCTGATAAGGCGATTTTACTTGTACCCTTAGGACCTAAACTGGAAGGTATATGTTGGCAATATTACTGTCTCCAATATATGTAATTGCTTCTGACACAAGGTCAGATATATTTGTGGCCCCACAATTTTGTGTGTGTGTGGCATTCAATTCCAGATTGGAACATTCCATTTTTGGCCCTATATCAATTGTTTACTGCCTTACAAGTTTAATGGGGGCTTTGTTGCTTGTTGTATTCTGTACTATTTGACCTCTGAAGAAGGCTCTTGTGGGCTGAAACATGTGTGCATTTATCACTGTGATTATTTTATGAGGCTTTATTTGGGCCCCTACAAGGTTTCTATATGTTTCTGAAATAAACACATGTACTTTTGCCTATACCTATTGATGTTTTAAACGTTTGGTCCTTTACTAGTTTTCTAAACTTCGTTTGGAGGTTTTTTCCTATCCAGGTCAGGGCCATAGCCCACGGTAATTAGATGCAGAGCACAGGAAACAATATCAAGCACTGGCCACAAGATGGCGCTGTTGAAGCACATCCTGCAGGGAACCACCTGTAAGGCAAGGCCACACGGATTTCTGGTTTCAGGCAGCTGAATAGGGCCAAACAAGATGAAGCCAGAGGAGATCCAGGTCAGAGCTCCTGTTTTAAACTAACTGCATCTCCCTCTCCCTCTGTGTGTGGGAACATAACCCATTAATGTTACACTTTCTCTTTTGGGTTCTGTAACCTATATCCTGGGAAGAAAGTCGGCATGGTATAGCCTAATCTTGTCAGATCTCGGAAGCCGAGCAAGGCTGGTACTTGGAAGGGAGACCACCAAGGAAGACTCTGCAGAGGAAGGCAATGGCAAACCACCTCACTTGCCTTGAAAGCCCCTGGCTGGGGTCGCCTTAAGTTGGCTGCGACTCACTGACACTTTACATACACACACGCTCTCTCTGCCCCTGCCAGGCCTCAATGAACACAGAAGCCCTTTCTATTAAGATGGTGCTGGATTTATGTCCATGAGTCAGTGTGTGTCTCATAGCAACTCCTTCTGGATCGCTATTCAGAGAATCAAGCAGCCTCTGAAGAACACAGAAGACGGTTCATCCTCCAATGGGACCTAGAGCAGGATGTCTACCTGGTGGGCAGAATGCACAGTTCATAGAACAACTCTTGATGGTCGGCAAAAGGGCCTTTCCCTGGGCATGCCTTGTTCCTGTAG